GATAGGGGAGGGGGTGGTGGGTGTGGGGGGGGGGGGGGGGGGGGGGAGGGGTTAAATCTCTCGCTGCTGAAAATCACGCTTGTGTTTCTGTTGTCACCAGCTTCATAGGGAGCAATATGTAGGTTGCCATCGTTGCCATCCTTTTGAAGATACCAATCATCTGTCTCTGGCTTCAGTCCATTCTGTAGGGGATTTAATAAGGGCCGGTTCTGTTCACACCATAAAAACGGTCAGTGCATTTAGAGCATGCTGTCACACAGCGCATGGTACCATACATTAAAGGAGAACTATGAGATGAGTGCTTTTCACTCACCTCATAGTTCTAGCCGACCTGTGACAATGAGACTGTCACAGGTCGGCTTAGTAGATCGGGAGCTGAGCGAACACATACCGGCGTTCGCTCACTTCTCGATCCTGTCACGGCTCTCTGCCGTGACAGGGGAGGGGCTGGAACGGATGCGGGAGGGGGCGGGTACAGCTGGCTCTGCCTCTAGATAGGCAGAGCCAGCTGTCAGTCACGCAGCTGGGCGGATCCCGGCACAATTGTCGGGATCCGCTTCAGCTGCGGCGTCTCAGTATACCGCGAGCTACAGCTCGCGGTATATTGAACCTAGGGTGACGGGAGGACACTAGTTTGTGTCCTCCCGTTACCCTAAGGAGAACTGTGGTGAAAAGCCTGAACCCCATAGTTCTCTTTTAAGTGTGCAGGTGCATTCTCAATGGCACCCCAACACACCTCCTAATGGAGCAGTGGCAAACTCCAGCCCTCCAGCTGTGGTGAAACTACAAATCCAATCATGCATCTGCAAGATTCTCACAGCCACAGGCATGAATCCCAGAGACCATGTCTCATGGAATTTGTAGTTCCAGTGGGGCTACCCCCACACTGCAAAGGTTAACTGCTAATTGTAGTCTAGGGTGGGCCTGGCTGGTTGTGACAGCGCTCCCTCCTGCCTGTCTCCTCCTCCACTGCAGTGATGGTATGACCTTGACGTCCTCACGTCATATACACTATGTATAGAATGTGATGACTCGGGGACCTTAGATCACTGGAGGCAGGTGCAGCTTGGCCCAATGTGAGTATGCAAATGCTGTACCTGATCGGCCGCTGGGGATCCTGTAACACGCTGTAGTAGCTGAGGATCGTTACTGCGCGGAGTGGCTTCCCCTCTGCTTTGAAAACACTGGGGCTCGCTCTCTCGGTACAGCGACTATTTAGAGAACACTTTTTATCATTTAATACAAGAACTTCACTGATTGGCCGAGGGGCAGTGACCTCATTATCTGTCGCTTGTCCAATGAGAGATTGTCTGGTATCCATTAATAAAAATACTAGGCGTTCTCTATATGGCTGCTGTGCTGAGCGAGTGACCCCCCTGTTTTTTCAGAGCAGAGGGGAAGCCACTCGGCACCCCACCGTACAGGACCAAGAAGATTGTGGTCAGCACTGTAGTAGCTCCGGCTATGACAGCGCATTACAGAATCCCTGTGGGCCAATCAGGTATGACATATGTATACTTACATTGGGCCAAGCTGGACCAACGTAAGTATGCAAAATAATATATACCTGGAGTTCAGCTTCAAGTTCCTTTTGAACTTGGATGCATTGGGCCTTGGTGCGAACCCAGTTCCCCTGAGTCCACCCAAGCCCGCGCAAAACTGTAACGGACATCCTTGCATGCACCCCATCCCAATCAGTTGTGTTTGGGACCTGCCCCCGTCCCTTTGTGATGGATAGCTGCGGGGGTGTCCGTTTTGCATTGGCTTGGGTGAACTCAGGCCAACCCGGCTTTGCACTAAGCCCCTGCACATCATTACTGGAACTGGTATCTGATATGTTTCCATTCCTCTCCCAACTTCTCCACATGGTTTCTCTGCCTGTAAAACTCTCCCACCTCAGAGGAGAGACGCTTGCGACAATCCTCCCCAAATGGCGACAGATTCATATACACTTTACCGACACGTACTGTACATGCTTCTGTCACAAAGTCCTCCATTTCTCGTGCTACTGTGAGACGGATTATTAAAGAGTATCTGCAACATGACTTCTGGGGTCTGTGTCACTGAGCCAGAGCAGTGAACGCTGCAGGTGATATCAGTACTACTGACCCGCACTATTGTTTCAGGGCGGTGTTTTGAAAATACAGAAGCCTTTGGTTCAGCTTGAAAGCCGGGCAAACAGCATTTTCCAAAGCAGGTCAGCAGTGGTAGCCTATACACTGTGTATTTCTCAGTACAGGTTTTAAATGCCTGTGTTTGGGGTCTCATGTAGTGAAAGCTCCTTTTCAGCTTCTCACATGGTTCTTAAAGAAGAAACTCTGTGCAAATAAAACATTAGCCCTTGCAGTGGGGCTACCCCCACATTACAGGGGTTAGGCGCTCATTTTCCTTAGTAGGCTAAAATAACAGAGGTATACTCACCCGAACCACGATCATGGCTGGCTCCTAGACTGGTCCCTTCAGCGCCTCCTTGCTCCAGCAATGGAATGTCCCACGGCGTCCTCAAGTCCAGTGCAATGTATAGGACATGATGTTTCACAGGACCTTAGATGGCTGTAGTGGAGGGGGAGTGAGGCTTGTTCACACCATGGCCAGACCAGAACAGTTTGTTCCTGGACCAAAAAAGCATCCCAATGTATCCCTATGGTATTTCTGGGCTCTGTTCACACCAGTGCAGTCCGATCCGGTCCAGATAAAAAAAAAAATATTGCTGGTCTTATGTTGGCCATACACTGTACAACCATCGCAAGACCTTAGTCTTGCGATGGTTGTAAAGGGATTAAAAAAACATACGATCTGCCCATCTTGGACGGGCAGATCGCACTCTCGATCATCGCAAGCCACGCCCCCTGAGGGGCGGGCTTGCGATGACTGTAATGAGGGGCGGGCTTACGCTGACTGCAAACAGGCAGTGTGCGCGTGCGCACACCGGCCCGTTCGGCAGTTGTCGAACCAGCAGGCCACCAACTCGCCGAGAATCGTACGATTCCCGGCGGGTTTTCAAACATGCTGGTTCGATGGAGGAGTGGGGGCATCTGTTGTGAAGGGGGCTCCTAATCTTACCACCTTTTTTATCACTTGCCCCTCCCTTTTAGATTGTAAATGAAGGGGGATCTTCTTTTTTGTGTGCTTTTGCATGGGGTCCGCCCTTCAAATCCTCCTATCTGGGATAAGGGTCTGGTATGGATTTTGGAGGGGCCACACCATTTTTTAAATTGACATTTTTTACATTTTAGACTGGGGCGCCTGGAGATTTTGCATACTTTAAAAAAAGGGTGCTGTCACTGAAAAAAGGATGAAACACAGCCCTTGGTAAAACGAGCACCGAGCACCTAACCCTTGCAGCGCAGGAGGTAGCCCCACTTCAAGGCATAAGATTGTATATGCCCGGAGTTCTTCTTTAATACTATAGTAAAGGGTAGAGCGTAGTAATGATATGCAGCTGCGGAACGTTAGTTGAATGGCCTTAGCAGCATTTCATAGCACTGGCGAAGAATGCATAAAAGACAAGGCGCCCCTTAGAGGATCTGGTGAATGACTCTCTTAGAGGAATGGTAAATGAAAGGTTAATGAATGTAAGTGATGGTGTAGTGGCAGGGAGGGACCTCTTCACAGTGGACCTATTGTGGCTAAGGGCTGATGATTGTCAGCGAGGCGCCTCCTTCTGTCATCCAGTCTGCTCTGTTCAGTCCACAGACTGCTCTGCTGCAGGTGTGCATGGTAAGGAAGGCTGCTTCTGCTGCTACTATGCATGAGATGAGCTGTGCCCAGCATGCCGACAAGCCAACAGGCCCGACACCCGCTGCTCATACAGGCTCCTGGGGAAATGGCTATTGCAGCATACATAATGGAGAGAGCCTTCTTCACATCCCAGTCTTAATGATGCTCAACAGCTGGTGTGAATGCATGCATGCGATTGGGAGTAGAGTAAAAGGGAACTTGCTGAATGATGTCACCATTAGAGAAGACAGGTCCCTATTGAGGGGATTTAAGTTCTTCCCGATAGTGACGAGCAGGGTTGCTTGCAGTATTAGAGAGTGACAGTGCATTGCATAAGGGATGCTGTGTCCTAGTTCTGTGATGCATGTGCACTGTCTTAGAATGGGAAGCCCACGTACGATGGGATGAAGGCTTTATAATAGCTGTGTCATATGAAACGCTTGTGGGTGATGGAAGTTACTTGTGCCATGTTGTATTCATGAGATGGTATACCCAGACCAACATAACGAGGATTCAGATTTTATTATAAGAAAACTCTGTATTTCGATGATTTTGTTGTAGTTGATGGAGTAAGGTTGATCTGGTAGGGCTGATCACACACATACACCATCACATTGTTGCAAGATATGCAAAAGATCAGGGGTAGGCAACCTCTGCTCGTTCCATTATGCCTCTGGGAGTCATGCCCATGGCTGTCAGAGTCTTGCAATGCCTCATGGGGTTTGTAGTTCCACAACAGCTGGATTGCTGTACTCCTGCAATAGATTTAAAGCAAATGTTGTCGAGTCACAAGAGTCACAGGTATTCTTACTTGAATCTTGGTGTGCTTTGTGTATTTGTCAGGTCTGTGCAATAATCCAGCGTGAAACTTTCCATCTGTGCAGGGGCATTCTGTAATAAAGACCAGTCAGTGCTGCTCTCTCTCCTTGTTTGGAATGACTGGTCTTGAATCCGCCCCCTCCTGTAGTTTTCTGCAGACTAGTATTGGGTGGGGCCTGCTGGACCCCTCCCACAGCTATGCTCTCTGCACAGGCTATGGACAGCACAGTGACGATGTTGTTGCTGCTTTCACAGTAATACAGTAAACTCCCCGTTATCCGGCAGACACGGGGATTGGTAGATTCCAGATAAATGTAGTGTCTGGTTGCTTGAGAGTTACTAAAAAATGAGGTCTAACTAATGCCATACCCCATACTATACCAAATCATAACATGAACTCTGTATTGACTTCATATTAATATTGAAATGCAGTAAACCAAAGCAAATAAAGACGAATGGACACACTTAAAGCGGACCTTTACCCATATCTTTAAGACGACAACAAACACACCTTTTAGAAATGTTTAGTAATGACAATCTACAAACAAATACTTCTAGATAATTGCCGGCTTTGTATTCTTTGCATATCTTATTTCTCTTTTCTTTCCCAGTCTTCTGACAGTGGCCATGTTTATTAAGGGCAGATTACTAGCTCTCCTTTTACTTCCTGAAAATGTGGCACATGTGACCAGGACATGTGACCATGCAAACCATCTCAGGGATGGAAATAGCATTTTACTGAGATGAGATTTCCCAGCAATGCTCTGCTGATGACAAGGCAATCCCAGTGTGCATTGCTTTGGCAAACTGAAGTCATTTTGCCCTTTTCAAAGTAGGAAGTGAATGCTCTGCAAGTGTAAGTATTTCATAATCACAGCATTTTACACCTGACATGTCTATGTTATTATTACTCATCATACGTAGAGGGATGCATTGGGAGAATTTGATTTGTGAGTGCACAGGTCCGCTTTAAGACAACTAGATCATTTCGAGGCTAATACATGCCACAGATGAGGAATACAGTGAGTACACAGGAGATTTTTTTTCCTGGTTAGATGAGAGTTCTGGTTAGTTGAATCCCGGATAACTGAGAGTTTACTGTATCTGGGTTTGTAAAGACATCTGGTGCACACAAGGTGGGGTATATTTAAATGAATGTTTTCATGCATGGAGTTCAGCTTAAAACAGCACTTGCAATAGTCAGGTTGTGTGCGCATTGTAATGCACTCAACACAAGCAATTGACTTCAGCAAATATTGTAGTTTTGTTTGCAGATATTCAGGCATGCAGTCATATGTCTCAGGATTGGAACTTACGGCTCTGTGATTGTGACTTCAGGGCCAAGAGCAATGATAACATTTGTATTACAGCAGAAGTTTGTATCAGGATTCTCCATAGAGTGAAACAAATACTCATTTTACATTTCAGCAGGATGTGTAGTGTGACAAGTCGTCATCAAAGTCTGGCATGGTTTCAGTGCCAGAAATTTCTGTACACTGATCTTCAGTACATCTTACCTTTTACTGCACATGTTATATACGCATCACCTCCAGTGTTGACGGCATGAGGGTTTGTTCACACCATGTCCGGATCATGTCCAGACCAGGAATAGTTTGTTCCCGGACCAGAAAAGGTCCGGGACCACGGCGTCCTCAAGTCCAGTGCAATGTATAGGACATGATGACACACAGGACCTTAGATGGCTGTAGTGGAGGGGGAGTGAGGCTTGTTCACACCATGTCCAGATCAGAACAGTTTGTTCCTGGACCAAAAAAGCATCCCAATGTATCCCTATGGTATTTCTGGGCTCTGTTCACACCAGCGCAGTCCGTTCCTGTCCAGACAAAAAAAAAAACTCATTTTCTTTGATCTGGAATGCATGGAAACGCATCAAAAACGCATACAAAAGCACTGGACTGCACCTGTTAGCCAAAAGTGGCAAAACGCAATGCACCACTTTCCAGATCTGGTCTGGAAAATGGTGGGAACGTGGCCTTAGTTGTCACATATACAACTCGCCTCATATTCTCCCCTCCTGATTTGCTCCCCCTCACCCCATCTTCAGGGCCCATTCACACCAATTGCAGTGCATTCCAGAGCGGCAGCTGCTGGAACGTACAGCAATCGCTCACAAAGCTTCCTCCTGCGTTCTGGGGCGGGAGAGGGCGTGGCGGTGCATTGAAATCAGCTTGTAGTGTGATTGGATGCGTGGCAAAACATCGCCTGCGTTCCGGTCCACTGCAGTGGACCGGAACACAGGCAATGTTTTGCCACGCGTCCAATTGTACTGCGGGCAGGGGGGCGTAGCTGTGGTGCTATTGACTTCAATGTACCGCCACGCCCCCTCCCGCCCCAGAATGAAGGGGAGGAGTTTTGTGAGCGATTGCCGTGCGTTCCAGCAGCTGCCACTCTGGAATGCACCGTGATTGGTGTTAATGGGCCCTTCGTGTCCCAGCCAGCTGTCAGACAGTTCAGATGTTGGGCATTGCACTCCAGGTTGGTACAGGAACATGCATGATCTGTACTACAAGGAACTGAAAGAATATTCGGGATGCTGCTGAAAACAGTGGAGGGTGAATAGAAAGATAAGTCGTATACGCTAATGCTGGCCATACACACTTATATATTATGTTGTTGAACCTGTGAGCAGAAAAAAAAAAAGATTCCTCCATCCACACTATACAGCGGGATGGATAAATCTCCCCGTACGGGGGCGGTGTGCCTATCAGAATTCCCGAACAGTGATGGAAGCTTACTGGCTACCATTAGGCCTTGTTGACACCAAGTGCAGAGCAGTTACAGACAGAGCAAAACTGCGTCCAATGTATTCCAATGGTATTTTTAGCTCCAGTTCACACCGCAGCGTTCAGTTCCAGAGCAGGTAAAAAAACTGCAGCAGGCCCTATTTTACCTGCTCTGGAACACATGCATACGCATCAAAAATGCCTGGAACGCACTGAAAGCCCATTTTAAACAAAAAAAAATATTATTATTATTTTTTTAACCAAAAACGGCCCGGAACGCATCAAAAACGCGACAATAACGCGGCACAACCCACTGCACTGCGTGTGCAGAAACCTAAGCGGATCTGCTCTCCATTTGGTGTGAGCAAGGCCTCACTGTTCGCCCGAAGATTTTCCATGTCCTGTAATTGAAATGTTTTTTTTTATATTTGAAGTAAGTGAAACCATGTACCTTACAGTTCCCTCCATGCCCCAGATCCAGAGATCTTCATTCTTTAACCCTTTCGCTGCCAAAGCATTTTTGCACACATGATATAATCCACATTTAGGCCTTTAAACCATTAAAGTTATATATTTCCTGGAAGTGCAGACCCTGTACAATAAAACGGCGGCAGTTACAATTTTTTATGTTGCATGATATTAACGCAACTCATTATCAAACCCCAAATTTCAGTATAAAATACACTTAAGTTAATTTTAGTAAGCAAAAACAGAATATAATATCCAGGTCTTTGTAAAATATAAAAAATGAAGTTGAGCCAAGTAAATAGATACCCAACATGCCAAGCTTAAAAATCGCCCGTCAAACTGCGACAAAATACGGTACCCCAAATTGTCCATAGGTGACAAGCCTGTATAGGACATCAGTTTAGGGTTATGCATGAATATGGGGCATAGAATTATTGCTCTAATGCTAGCACATGCAACAATACCTAACATGTGTAGCGCAATAGTCACTTTCTTACGCAGGGGCCCCCAACGCGTCTTTACGTTAGTATGCACGCATTCGTGGGGATAGGAGACTTTAAAAATTATTTTTTGGGGGTATTTTTTTTTTACATTTATTTAACTTTATTTAAAAAAAAAAATGTTTCTTCTTAACTTTATCGCTTTCACTGGGGGGCTCACAAGCACAGTCACGTGCAATTAACACACTTACCATACAATCGCACCTACCGTGCGTTCTGGTGTAGGCGATAAGTTGTATTGCCATTAATTTGAATGGCACCTTAAACACACCTCCCGCCACACAGTTCAATCGCCCCCACACCGGAAGCTGTCGTACCACAAAGCTGTGGGTTTCAGTGCGGTGCGACTTGGATGGCGGCATAATAATCAAGGACAAATTTGGGTCCTGAGGTTACACAGGTTGGGAACCACTGACCTAGAATATGGACTAAAAAGTGACGCTGCAATTTTTCAAAAAGTGAAAGCAAA